TCTCTCTCTCTCTCTCTCTCTCTCTCTCTCTCTCTCTCGCCCCCCCGCTCCTTCTCCATGTGTATCTGTGAGTGCCCTCAGAGGCCAGGAAAGGTTGTTGAATCCCCTGAATTGTAGTTACAGATGGTTGTGAGTCACCTGGTATGGGTCCTGGGAACCAACTCTGGTCCTCGGGAAGAGCAGCCGTGTGTGCCTTCACTGCTGAGCCGTGTCTCCAGCCCCCTTCCCAAGGGTTCTTAGTTGTGGTCCACATAGAAGAAGTAACTGACTACAAGCGGCTTACTAGTGACACAGCTCAGTCTGCTGGTCTCAAGGGCGACTCTGAACACTGGAAGTCATTGCCAACGAGAGCCTGGTAACTCCCTTTCTCTGGTGCTCCAGTGCCAAGACCTGTCATGTACTTTGGCTGTCATTCCAGCCCCCATAGTGTTAGAATCAGCAAAGACATGGAGGTTGGGAATTGTAGTCGAGTGGGATGGAGGTAACAGAGGCAGAGCTGAGCCCAGCATCCTCATTGAGCTGTCAGTGACCCTGACCATGCATACCTGTGGTCAGGGCTGGGCCTCACCTACAGGATTTGTCCTGTGGCTCAGGAAAGAACTGGTGCTGTCTTTGTGTTTCTAAGAAGAGGGTCAGAACAGAGGAGCGTGAACATCTGGATCTCTGCCTTGTGACCTGGCCCCACAGTAGACAGCCTGCTGGCTCGCTCTGGGGAGTGGCAAGATGCTCTGAGGGACAATTTTGTGAAAGCACATTCTTTTCTCTCACATCAGACTTTACACTCAGGGGAAGTTTCCAGATGTCTCTTGGGCAACTCCAGGTGGGGGTGGGGTGGATTCCAGCATAGCCTTATCTTGAACACAAACGTAAAAGAATATAAACTCACCTGTAGGAATGGTTTAGAACATTTGAAGATAGTAGAAAAACCCTGGAAAGTATTTGGAATCAGGCATGATTATAACTATGCCACAGGGAGAAACTGAGTGTTCTGGGTCATGCCTATGCTCTCGTTAAAAAAATAAAATCTCAGCCACTTGCCAGGTTCTCCTCAGTAGCCAAAGAAATTGTGGTTTTAGGTTGTTCGCTATTTCTAGAAACTTTATAAAATCAATCCAGAAGTTGCAGGGTGGAGTCCAAGAAAGGAGGCATGCTGTTTCATGGTGCTTTTGGCAAAGCAAGTCTTTACGTCAGGCTCAGGAAAGTCCAGCAGCTGCCCAGGAGCCTAGTTCTCTAGCTCTGTGCTGGGACAAGCCAGGTGTCACCAGCAGAGGCAGCTGGAGGCCAAGGAGGACATGATTGCAGCACTCACTGATGGACACTTCCTGTTTCATCCTAGCTGCTTCTCCTTTCTCCTTTCAGTGGAGCTGAATAGTTCTTGAGCACCTCGTATTCCTGCAGATGCTATAAAGAACCAGCCCACCCCACCCCACTGTCCTTCTACATGTTTTTCCTTACAGTTCAGTCTTTTGTTCACACTCTCTTGAAGCTAAATCTTCACCCAATGTCCATCACTTGTTTTGCCTGTCTTGTTTTGCTTTGCGAGACATGGTCTTGAAAGTGCATCTCAGTCTGGCTTTGAACTTGTGACCCTCCTGCCTCTACTTTTTCAGTGCTGGGATTACAGATAATGTCCATCGCTCTTAAATAATAGTTCATTGATCACCTGGCTGTTTTTTTTTTTTTTTTTTTTACTTTTTCCTTAGAGAACATTCTTTTTGTTATTTGTTTTCAATGTTAGGTTTCTGAATTACAATATTATAAAAAGCAAATGTAAAACCCCTCTGAAACAGTCTGAATCACTCTTCCCACTCTGTGCCCCATAGAATAGGAAACTTGTTTCAGTAATCCAACAGATTTATATTTGATCAGGGTGCTGTTATATAATATTTCCCTGCAGTAGAACCACCTTCAAATGAAATATTGTAAAGATCAGCATATATACCTCACAGTAGGTAAGAGTGACCTAGAACTGTATCCTGAAGGGCTGAGAGTATAGCTCAGTGGTAGAGCACTTGCCTCTCATGCCCAAGGTCATAGGTTCAGTCCTTAGCACTGAAAAAAAAAAAAAAAAAAGACAGTAAGACAATCCATCCTGAAATGCCTTCATCCAAGTCATAATCCCCAATTCTCTGTGACCTCTCTTACCTAGCTGTACATCCCTTTTCCTTCCCGGGTGATCACCTGCACAGTCCTGGAGACTTCAACAGTTCCTGGCCCTGTGGATCCATTATATACAGGGATTTGAAAATGGTACCAGTCATTAATACAGTCCCTTTTCCTCCCAGGGTGAAGGCTGCGCAGACTGAGTTGGGACAGCAGATCCTGGCTGATTTTGAAGAGGCGTTTCCTTCTCAGGGTACCAAGGTACTGGTTCTCAGTTTCCCTCCAATCTCTAGGTATTATCACTGTTCTCATACTCCAGTCAGTGAGTGGTAGCACACGTTGTATCACTCCAGAAGTGTTGGCAGGCACAGGCCAGTTGTCTGCCCACTCAGACTAGCCTCTGTTTTTTTTTTTTTGTTTGTTTGTTTTTTGTTTTTTTTTTGTTTGTTTGTTTTTTTGCTTTTTCGAGACAGGGTTTCTCTGTGTAGCTTTGTGCCTTTCCTGGAACTCACTTGGTAGCCCAGGCTGGCCTCAAACTCACAGAGATCCGCCTGCCTCTGCCTCCCGAGTGCTGGGATTAAAGGCGTGCGCCACCGCCGCCCGGTGCCTCTGTTTTAAGTATCACAATGCAATGCTAATTGTTTATCTGTGTCCTTCCAGCCTCAGAAGGAGGACTTGGGCCAGGATTGTGATTTGGTTGGTAGAGTACCTACCTAAGTATGCATGAGGCCTGAGTTTGATCACTAGCCCCACATAAACTGGGTGTGGTGATGCATGTCTGTAAAGTAAGCCCTAGAAAGGTGGAGGCAAGAGAATCAGAAGTTCAAGTTCATCTTGCCTACATACTGAGTTTGCGGCCAGCCTGGGCTACATGAGATCCTCCCTCTGGAGGAAAAATGAGGATTCATTTGGTTTAATTTAATGTATGTCAAATCTTGCATTTTGTCTGCCCTATAAACTTACTTTTTTCCTCATAGCTGTGTTTTTTTTTAAAAAAAGAAACCTTCAGACCACAATGTTTTCTCTATTGTTACATAACACTGGTTTTGGTTTGGTGAAAAGACAACTGGGAGCTTATGTAACTCATGACACAGTCCAGAGACTCACTTTTAATGGTGGGAATCCTCTTCTCTGGGATCCTCGAGCTCCCCGGTGGTGGAGCTGTCTCTGTTGTGTCTGCAAGGCCTTCGCTTTCGCTTGGGAGCTGTTGGGTACATGTCCCTCACACAGGCTTCCCTCCCTTGGCTGTCATTGTGCTGGTAAACTGCTATTAGCTCCATACTTCACATTGCAGCAGATGTCATCTTAATGCTTTGCATGTGTCAGGGAGGACAGAACCCGCAGAAGCTTGTTTTCTCTATTATTTGAGCTATTTCAAGAGAAAGCATTGTTGAAGGCAGAAGCAAAGCCGAGCACATGGCCAGCAGCATCCCTCACTGGGCTCTGTGGGTGGAGGTGGGGATGGATATACGTTCACTTGTGAGCCAAGGAGCATTTCCTGCATTTGCTCTATAATTCAATAACTGGAAATATCTTAATCGCTTTTCCTTTGTGCTCTGTATTAGGAAGTAGGTGGAGATGGCAGCCCTGGCTTTGATAGATTGCTTTCTGTAGGCAACCAGCTCCTAACCTTAATGCCTTTGTATTTTTTAACTGCCTGCCAGGAATCTGATATTCATTTGTGAAGCACTTTGCTTTGAGAACTGCATCTTTTAGTCACCTGATGTAACTCAGGAAAGGCATAGCTTGGAAAGCCATTATTCCTGTTGGCCCTCTGAGGAAAATGAAGTTCTCAAAAGCAAAAAGGGATTGCCTGGTTAGTGGCTTTCTTTTAAGGCTACTGGCTAGTTGTAAACAGTAGTCTTCCTAGGCAACTGCTTTCCTGTGCTCTCTGTCGCATCCCATTGCACAATGTTTCAGAAGGATGTGGGTGAAGGCTATCTTTACTATTTGCCTATCATCTCACCATGGCCTACTTTCTACCTTTTCTCCCAGGTCCCAGTGGGCATATGAAGTTAAAAGGGTTTAATGACCTGACTTCCTTTTCTGGCTGTTACTTAATGGGATAGTGTTAAGTTTTCTTTTTCCTTTTTAAAAGGCTATTGATTTTTTCTAAAAGGCCTTGTGTTACTAATCCTGTTTTGCAAATTGGAACCAAAACATTTTTTTTAAAAGTATCGATTAGTGGGTATGCCTATCACTCCAGCCAGCATCCTGGAGACTGAGGCAGGAGATCATGAGTTAGCTCAGACTACATAGCAAGATCTAGGCCAGTCTGGGATACACAGGAAATGTCCCATCTTAAGAAAAATTAATTGAAATTTTAAAATGAAATATCCAAATGTGGTAGTTTGAATGACAATGGTCCCCATAGGCTCATACTGGTCCCCAGTTGGTGGAAGTGTTTTGAAGGATTAGGAGGTGTGGCCTTGTTGGAGGAGGTGTGCCCACTAGGCAAGGGCTTTGCGGTTTCAGAAGCAGAGCACCATTCCTGGCTCTCTCTCCGCCTCCTACTTTTGAATAAGTCTCAGCCACTGCTCCAGTGTCCTGCCTGCCTGCCTGTCCGCCTGCTGCCATGCTGGATCATGAGCACCAATAAACTCTTTCTTCTATAAGTTGCCTTGGTTATGGTGTCTCTTCACAGCAATAGAAAAGTAACTGAGACACCAAGATAATCTAGTAAATTTTTTGTAAATGAGAAAATTTGAACCTCCGAACCTGTAAGTTTTGGCCTCCATGACTTGTCAGTGAGCTCAAGCATTTCCATCCCGAAGCCAGAGGGCAGTGTGTTCAGAGGGCAGCAGAATAGCTGTTCAGAATAGAGCATGTCACATTATATCTGAACGTCAATTGAGATGGACAGAATTGACAAAGACAAACAGCCAGGAAAGCTGTGAGAGAATGTCTGCTCATCCTGATCTAAGTCCATTGCTGTTCAGGTGAGGTTGAGTGACTTCTCCCAAGGCACCAGGCCATGTAGCTAAACCAAGAGCTCCAAAGTCTTCTTTGTACCGTAGGGACCCTGGTGGGCACATATAGTCAGTGATACACCAGCAGGTCAGGGAGATCCAGTTGCTTTGGCAGTCAACAAGGCCCTTCTTAGCTGTGTATCCTTACAGCCCCTCCCCACTTCCACTCCTCAGGTCAGGGAAGCAGTGTCAGAGTATTTCACTTTTGGCAGTCTGTCTGGGTGATTGGCCATCAGTGAAATGAGTCTGGTGGTTTAGAATTTGGTGTGGGTTTTTAAAAACACCACCTCTTTGTCATAAATATAGCTCTTTAAGAATAGGAATGGCAGTTGGGTATGGTAGGGCATGCCTGTGATCCCAGCACTTGGGAGGCTGGAGGAAGAGGACACTGAGTTTGAGGCTAGCCTGGGCTACATGGCAAGGCCTTGTCTCAAAGCTGGCAAGCAGGCAGGCAAACCAGTTGGCAAATAAGCAAACAACACATCAGGGATCCTAGGAAGATTGGAAGCAGGAAAAATGTACATGTGAGTGACTGACTTTTGGGCTCCTTTAGTAGAATCTCTGCTGTCATTCTGGCTTTTTAGGTCACTTTCAGTTTCGATACCCAGAAGTAACCTTTCCTGCGATCTTTTCTGGCTCTGTTTTCTTGAATGCCTTGTTGAGTCACGGGCTAGTTTTTAGGTTGGCCACTGCAAGACTAGCTACTGTTCTTTTCTCGAGGAGCCGGTAACTAAGATGTCAGTCTCCTGCAGCAAGACTGGCTGTCCAGGGAGAGGGGTGAGGACAGGGAGAGACCAGGAAGAAGCAGCTGCCACAGGCCAGGAGATGTACAGGTGCTTCCAACGTTTAACTGCTGTGTGCTGTTGTTCCCCAGAGGCCGGGAGGACCCAGCAATGTCCTGAGAGATGCGTGCCTGGTGGCTAACATTTTGGACCCCAGAATCAAACAGGAAATCATCAAAAAGTTTATTAAGCAGCATCTATCAGAATATCTGGTACTTTTTCAAGAAAACCAAGATGTAAGTATTGGCTAGATGAAACAGTTCAGTTTTACTGAAAAAGGAACTAATGCTGCCAGGCCTCCTGACCTGTAGTTACTGGTACGATGAACTGTCTGATAGTGTTGTGCACTGAACCACAGAGCCCTGGGCTGACTTTACAAGTTAGTGGATCTTCACCATTTGAGTCGCTGACCATTTTGAGAAATTAATGAAAGCTAGCTTCTCCCCAGAAGAATGTACTTGTGCGTCACACTTTACATACAGTTTTAGGAAATACACAGACCCCTGATGCCCAACTGTGCGTGGACCATAGGTGGAGAACTAAATTCTGTTCAAGTAGACAGCATGGTGTAGACTCAGAATCTAAGTTGGAGAAACATGGAGGTTGGCTGTCTCTTCTCTTGGGTCCTAGCTTTTGCTTGTTATACTTCTGAGCACTAAGTGGTGTTGTTCCCTCCCTCACGAGGTCGCCTGGCTGGACAAAATTGATAGACGTTATGCCTGGGTGAAACGTCAGCTTGTGGACTATGAGGAGAAGTATGGTCGGATGTTCCCACGGGAGTGGTGCATGACGGAGAGGATCTCAGTAGAATTCTGTCACGTGACGAGGTAAATTTCCGCTGTCTCCTGCTTCCAGACCTGACTTACAGTTCCATGTGACCTGAAAATCGGGCACTTTTCCCATCTCTACCAAATGATTGGTGCCACCCTCATACCAACTACAGCCTCATCCTCTCTTCGCTTCCTGGCTCCAGGACTTCCTGTCACCTAGCCCTTGCCCCAAACAGCACACAACTGCGCTGCCCTCCCTTACCAGTTTGGGGCTCACCAGGCAGATTTGTCCAGAGTGATTTCCCCTCATCTGGATCATGTATATCGGAACATAGTGTGTCCACCCGTCATCATTTGACCTCTGACTTGATGGGTGGATAGCTCTAAAAGAGTAGGGTAGTTTCTTTTTTAAGTGCATGGCAGACACTAAGGAAAGAATTTGTTGGATGTATTTCCCTGATACAGTGTTTCTATTCTGTGGTTTCTTTTTTTTTTTTTTTTTTGGTTTTTCGAGACAGGGTTTCTCTGTGTAGCTTTGCGCCTTTCCTGGAGCTCACTTGGTAGCCCAGGCTGGCCTCGAACTCACAGAGATCCGCCTGGCTCTGCCTCCCGAGTGCTGGGATTAAAGGCGTGCGCCACCACCGCCCGGCTTATTCTGTGGTTTCTAATATTGGCATCTGACCTCTCATTCGTCCACTCTGCTGTATTTGTGAGTATAGCCTAGGCTACAAAGTTCCTTATTGAAGAATTACACCCTAGTAAAGTTAACTCAGGAATATCCAGGGCAGATAAAGCCAGAGTCAAACTTTTTTATTATTTATTTGTAACTATATCAAACAGTGTGGTAAATGGATTTTATTACTATAGTTTCATTCTAACAGCACATAATTTTATTTGACTTTAGGTTAATACAGGAGAGAAAGGGCCTGCATCTAAACATGACACAGCCACCTTAGTGTCGTTTATGCTGGCTCTCTGTCTCTGCCCTGCTTCTTTCTGTCTCTGTCTCTGCCCCGCTTCTTTCTGTCTCTGCCCCCCCTTTCTGTCTCTGCCCCCCTTTCTGTCTCTGTCTCTGTCTCTCTCTTTCTGTCTCTGTCTCTGTTTCTCTCTCTATCTCTCTCTGTCTCTCCTGGAGACTGAACCTAGAGCCTTGTGAATGCTAGGCAAGTGCTCTACCATTTGGCTATACCCCATCCCAAATCTCCCTTAAAAACTGATAGAAAGTATCTTCAAACTGTACACTTGAAATACACTGAGGGACAAAGTATTTTTATGTGATATTGATTCTATTTTTAAAATGGACGTTTAATGTCTAGATTGTTTTAAATTCCATCACAATTAGGGTCATTACAGAGATTTCCCGTGAACCTTGTTGTTGCACACACAGCCACTTTATTACCACTCCCCCACCCCCACTGGCATGCTGCTGCCATTGACTACCTTAACATACATTTTCACTGGACTCTGGTTTACATTCGGGTTCACTTTGGGTGGTGTACCTTCAGAATGGCTGTTGTTAAAGAAACACATGTGCTGCCATAGATTCAGTATTTTTTTAAAGATTTATTAATTTTTATGTGTATGAGTTTTTTGTCTGCATGTATGTCTGTGCCCCCATGTGTTCCTGGTACCCACAGAGGCCAGAAGAGGGTATAGGATCACCTGGAACTGGAGTTGCTGATGGTTATGAGCCAACATGTAGGTGTTGGAATTGAACCTGGATCCTCTAGAAGAGCAGCCAGTGCTCTTAACTGCTGGGCTATCTTTCCAGCCTCTAGATACAGTATTTAATAAATAGGCAAGTATTAATTCATGGCTAGTTATGGTTGTCAGCTTCTAAGTCTTGCTGGCAAAGAAAGAGTGAACTTCTTGAGAAATTGCTACTGATTTCTCTCAGCTTCAGTTCGGCACACTTGCCAGGCCGGCTGTGCAAAAGGAAGTGTGCGTTAGTTAGACTGGCAGTGCACTAAAGACAGCAGGTCTCTTCGAGCATCACCGCCCGCTGTGGGTCCAGCTAGGGCATGCTGCTGCCAAGCTTCATTGTCGGGATTCTGGCGGACATCCTACAGACACATCGTTCTCAGACACACTCAGAGGTTTTGTTTGGCTGTCATTGTGCGGGAAGATGATGACAGTCAGTACCTTCTAAGAACTCACCTGTCACTGTTCCCAGATAACCTATATTCTGCAACAGAACACCTAGGGGAGGTACACTTAGGCTCCACAGGCAAGAAGCAGACAAACGTATAGTGTCCTTTTTTACTGGGCCTCTGATGGACATTTCTGGGGCCTTGTTCTGGATGATGAGATGTGTATTGAGCTCTCTGGAAGATAAAGAGCTTTGTAATTAAGTAATTTATGACAGGTTGGGCAGTGGTGGCACACACCTTTGATCCCAGCACTAGGGAGGCAGAGCCAGGTGGATCTCTGTGAGTTCGAGGCCAGCCTGGTCTACAGAGTGAGTTCCAGGACAGGCTCCAAAGCTACATAGAAACCCTGTCTCGAAAAACCAAAAAAAAAAAAAAAAAAAAAGTAGCTTATTACAATATATTGTTATAATTGTTGTATTATCATAAGTTACTCTTATGCTCTTATTGTGCATAATTTATAAATTAAACCTCTCCATAGAGACATGTGTGGAGAAAGCACAGCATGTGTAAGGCTACATATCTAGGTTTCAACTATCTGAGGAATGTTCTTATAAAGTGCCTGTGTCAGGAGGAAGACTATTTTATTCCCCAGGCGTTAGACTGAGTTGGTAGTAGACCTCAGAGTTTGAAATGCTCCTGTACATGTTTTCCCAAATGAAAGCTATTTCCCTTCATACACACCACACACACACACACACACACACACTTTTTATTTTTATTTATTTATTTATTTATTTATTTATTTATTTATTTATTTATTTATCTATCTATCTATTTTTTGCTTGTTTGTTTGTCTGTTTCTTGCGACAAGGTTTCTCTGTGTAGCCCTGGCTGTCCTGGAACTTGCTTTGTAGACCAGGCTAGTCTGGAACTTACAGAGAGCCACGTGCCTCTGCCTCTTGAATGCTAGGAACATATATATTTTTAAATATATATTTATTTTTTATTTATGTATATATGTATATCCTGCATATATTATGTGCCCCCATGTACATGCCTGGTGCCCATGGAGGCCAGAAGAGGGACTCAACTCTTCTGGACCTGGAGTTACAGAGGGTTGTGACTACCATGTAGGTAGTACTCTTGTGGAACTGGAGTTACAGATGGTTGTGACTACCATGGAGGTAGTACTCTTAGCCAACAAACCATCCCTCCAGCCCGCTTTGTCATGTCCTGAATGAAAGATGTTTGTTTGACCTCAGTCTCCTTTCTCTATTTGAAGGACAGAACTTTCCAAAATCATGCGAGCCAGAGCTAAGGAAATTGAAGTGAAACTGCTTCTCTTTGCGATTCAGAGAACAACTAACTTTGAGGGGTTTCTTGCAAAACGCTTCTCCGGTTGCACTCTGACAGACGGAACCCTGGTAAGACCATCCTGAGGGAGCTGGGTCTGGCCACCAGAGGCTGGGGTGACCAGGCTTCTTTCACTGTTTCTCTGTAAAGTGTCAATATCTTCTCATCCTGTGACTCCTGATCTCTAGTGATCCTCTCCTCTCAGCTCCAGAGGAGCTAGGGCCCCAGGCACATGCCACTGTGTCCAGTTTAAGTTTTTTTTCAACAAGGAAAATGGGCCAAATAAGTGATTTACAAAACTCCTAACAAAACTTGATGTGGACTCTAAACTTGACGTTATTGTTTTGTGGGTGTTGTTGGTTTTTTTCAATTCCTGCCGTATGGCCCACCCTGAGCTGTGTGCATTTACCTGCAATCAGTTACTGTGTTTCTTCCCCACAGAAGGTCCCACTACAGTCATTTTACTCCAGAGCTCACAGAATTGTAGCTACTCTGAGAGAAGAATAGCAGTGTAGTCAGGCCTGGAGCACCACTCACCCCTGCAATGTTCTCTAGCTCCCAGCTTTCCAGTCCTAAGGTCCTGGCACTTTGGTAGGATCCTCTCCTTGCCTGCATAAGACCCCTCAGCACGGGGACTTGGTCCCTCAGCACTGGGCTGAAGAGAGGTGGTACTGCAATTGAGTACAGCAAAACCGCTGAAGAGGACCACTCCATGGGTAGAAAAAAATATTATTGGGGACAAACTATGGCTGTTTCATGAGAGTAGAAAGCAGAGCCATCTGTAAGAGCAAGTGGGCATTATAGGGTTCCTGAAGGCTTAAGGCAGACTCCTCCCTCTCAGGACATTTTTTTTCCTGTCTTAGGTAGAACGGGGTCCCTGGGCCAAGCCTATCAGGTCAGTGACTGTGGCAGTCAGGCCAGTTTATGGGTAGCAGATGGCCATTTAGATAGAGAGGAGAGGAAATTGCAGTTTTCTGATGAGCAAGTTCCTTGAGTCACAGAGTTTCTGAGAAATGCTGGGGTTAGGTTTCTGTTTCCTCATGGCCATCTCCTCCTCATGGCCATCTCCTTCCCCTACCCCACCCCTTCCCAAGCTCAGGTAGCCATTGTAGGGTATTGGCAACTGTGTGCCATCTCTGCCCCCCCCCCTTCCCAAGCTCAGGTAGCTATTGTAGGTGCTGGCAACTGCGTGCCACCTTCAGAGCCCACTTTATGATATAAAAATGGTGACAGTCCTGTTTTAGGACAATGTCTCAGGCCCCTGTCTGCTTAGATTCACTCATGATCTTATTAAAAGACAACTGGAATCACAAAATACAAATTTTCATACTTAACCTAAGGTGTGTCGAAGCTGGTGTGGTGCCACAGACCTGTAATCTTGCTTGGGAGGTGAAGGCCAGAGGACCAGAAGTTCAAGATCATTCTCAACTACAAATTAAGTTTGAGGCCATCATGGGCCACATGAGCTCTGACTGAAAAAAACAAACAAGGAAAGAACAACACAAAAACTTAACAATAAATAAGTAAATAAAATATATAGACAGTCCTCCACATACTAACTCACTTTCAAAATTGATTTTATTTTAGTAATAGAGGAAAATGTAGGTCACAAATGGGTGAAAGTATCCTTGTTTTAGTTACTTTTCCATTTCTGTAGTGAAACACCATAGCTTTCAGAAGGAAGAGTTTTTGGGCCTGTGAGAGAGCTGAGAGTCCGTTGTCGTCCTAGCAGGAAGCTTGGCAGCATGAAGGGGGACGGCTAGGGCAGTAGGAGAGCTCACACCTTGAAGCAGAAGCAGAGAGCAAACTGGGAATGGCCCGTGGCTTTTGAAAGAAACGTCAATGCCTGCTCCCTGAGACACACTTCCTCCGCAAGGCCACACCCCTAAAACCTGCTCAAACAGTTCCCAACCAGGGAACAAGCATTCAAATGCCTGAGGTTACAGGGAACATCTCATTCAAACCACCATAGTCCCTAAAGAAAATGCAAGTCAGAAAAGCCTCTGAAGTAAGTGTGTGACTGGTGCTAGGGCTGTAGCTAAGTGATAGAGTGCTTGCCTTGCATGCACAAGGCCATAGGTTCAATTCCTAGTGCCGTCAAAAACAACAACAACAACAACAACAATAAAATAATCCCGGGAAACGTGTCCCTGCTGAGAAGCCTTGCCTGGCAGCACCCGCCAGACGCTTGTGTTGGCGCTTCTCCCCACAGTCCTGCCCGAGCCCTGTTCTCAGCAGAGGCTTAGACAGCCTGGTTCATCCTCACAGGACAGAACTTTTAGCACTGAGTACCAGGCCCACCCTGGATCTAGTCCCCAAGCTCTCAGGGTTTCTGACTAGCCAAGCTGGGTAGAGCATAAGGATTGCCTCTGTGGGCCAGAAATCCAACTACGTATCCAACTACGGAATATCATTCAGCCAAATGCCTGCTTTGAGCCATACCCGACCCCTGTCAGCAGGACCCGACTCCTGGTGACTTCTGTTACTGTTAGATCACTCTAGGATCACAGAACAGATGGCCCCGCTGTAGCTGATGACCAGGGAAGCCTGCAAACATAGGTCTGTCCAGGACACATGACATTGTCACCAATCCAAGAAATCCCCCAGGGGTCGGCAGTGTGGAGTGGATATGGCCGAAGTACATGTGGCTACTTGAACAAGAATGTCATTCTGAAGCCATCACTCTGTAGAAGGAGTATGCTGTAACTAGAAAATAAAGTGCTAGAATAACGTGGCCAGGGAGTGTCCTTGTAGACCGGTTGCTGAGCCGGGCAACTAAGCCAGAGGCCCTGAGCAGCCGGCCTGAGCTCTGCTCCTGCTTGTGAAGAGGGTGGTGCCCTGTTTGGTTTGGTTTGTGGTGGAGAACAGGCGCAGCACTGTCATGGCGGCACTTGGCTGATGGCTAACCACCTCTGTTGGAGGGGGAGGCTGGGGCATTGTTTCTCAGGGTCGTACTGCACTTCTTCACCTTGCGTCCGTTAGCTAGGGCTGGCTCCTGGCCTGGAACCTGGTCATCTGTGCTCCTCAGATAGGAGCCCTCTTCCCCAGGCCTTGCCTCTCTGGTCATGTGACTTGAAATTTTTCCTGTCAGAACGGGTTTGTCAGTCCCCTTCCAGTCATTCAGACCCTGCTTCTCTCTCCTGTCAGGCTTCTAAGGGAGTTTAAATCCTGACCAGGGAGACACACATGAACAGACAGGCACACGGACACAGATACGACCCTGCAGAATACCACAAGCTCTTTATTTATTCTTCTCAAAGGTCAGCTGCCTCCACATACTTCTCCAAGTCAGTCAACTTCTAACAGAGTACAGCCTCTTCCTCTGGACCATTGTCTGTCCCAATTACCAAGCCTCAACAGCCGGCCAATCTGCACTAAGTCCTGACAGTGGGGCCCTGTAGACAGCAAAGGTTTTCTCTTCAACATGAGTTTTAAAATGCCGACAGACTGCCATGCCTCTTCAGCTTGGTAGGCCAGGTTCCCAGGCCTCTAGCTTTGGGGTGCTGGGAAGGTCCTTCCTTTACGTGATGTTCACACTGGGCCTGATCCCTGCTATCACCTCACTCTGGACCAACGGGGGCCATCCATTCTGTTAGTGTTCTGGCATCCTTGATGTAAGGGACTCTGATGAACCACTCATGGCTCCTGACAATACTTGGAGGAAATGGTACTGGAAAGAGACCCCAGCTCCTAGGCTGCCATTGATCTGATTTGCTGTCCCCTGGTCCTGTCCCTCCTCCTTTGCTGCGTACCTCCAGGGAAGACTTTCTGAAAAATCTTTTTGTGAATACCATTTTGCTTTAGGATATTAGAATAAACTATAAAATGGATCCAGGTGTATCTTGACACTATAATACATGTCACATTTTATCAAAGTTAGCAGACTCCCTGGAAAGCAAATCAGGGAGACCCTGTCTGCTGTTTGTTTCTTTTTTTTTTTTTAATTTTATAATTTGATTTAATTTTACATATCAGCCACGGATATTCCCCTGTTTTCCCTCCTCCAGACCCCCTTTTTTTTGCTGTTTGTTTCTTATGCCACCTCCAACTCACTCACTCTCTCTCTCTCTCTCTCTCTCTCTCTCTCTCTCTC